TTAACAAAGGCCGTATGAATAAATATTTATATCCTCCTTTGGTTGTACCCTGTCGAGGAAATTTGTTAAATGAATGAATTTTGCTTTGTAGTATTGTTCTAGTCAAAATGGGACTTTTGGTTAGTGCTCTAACCTTGCATCTTCAGGGTTGTAGGTATGCCATTCAGGATGTCCACTGCCATGTTCCCGGTGCTTTCTGGGATAGTCTCCAGGTTCATCGTGTCCCTGTTTCGGACAAGAAAATAAAATAGCTGAAAATAACCGGTTCACTATTCAGCCACGCTTTTGTTACCACTTCATGAAGAAAAAAATCATCAGCAAATAAAGCCATTGCCATCGCCATGTAGACAATAAGTGGTATGGAAAATAGAACGATGGATGGATCATCTAAATGAAGCCACATCTTGTCTCCATATTGTATTTAAAGTGGTGGGTATGTTATTCAGGTGAACATGTCAGCTGCCATCAATGTGTAATTATGTAACAGTCCCTGAAGAACAGTGGGGGTGGGAGAGTTTGGAGCCTTCTGGGGCCTGCTGTGGAGTGAATCGTCACCGTTCGGTTTTTGGGCAGTACGGGGGCTTTCCCTTCGCTGGCCCACCATGTAAGCCCCGGGTCTGTATTTATCGCAGACCGCGTGGGCCATTTTCAGTATAGCTTGGCAAGCAGGAATATGGACACTCCTGCCCAAAGGCAGACAAAGAAGCATCTTATTAAAGCCAGAACGTTATACAATATGCGGCCCACCCACCAACTGCACTGAGCGTGTTACAAATTGCGAGATGAAATCTAGCCCTATGAGTCCCGTGCATTTGAAGCCAACGTCCCAGAACGTTACACAAGTACCCCTCCCCCTCCTCTGCCGCCCACCCCCGGTCAATCTGGGAAGGCAGCCAGCGGACCCAGCTGGGCCTGTGCGTGACAGCACCACCCCGCAGCAGTACCAGAACGACCCTCCAGCTGAGCCATGGGCCTGCCCCAGTACGCCTGCTCACCTGCCCTCCCCGAACCCGCTTTTGACAAATCGGATTAAGTAATTAGCGTGACACCTGGAGCGCCGCCGCACTCACCCCCATTGGCTCCTGGCGAACTCCTAACCGCGTCCGTCTGGGCCGTCTCTGCGCCAGTCCGTTTGCGGATCTGTCGCACTGCCGCCAGGAGGACCGGCTGCATACACGATTCACCCGTTTGAGTGAAACATTTACCGAATGCTGAGAGCTGCATCAGAAAGTGAAATGGGATCACAAGGGGAGAAGCAGAGGAGTGAAATTACCCTACACGGGATTAGCCGGAAAATGCTAGAATCTGCACTAAAGTGGCATAAGATGTTCCAACGTCAAAAAAAAGATGCCCGTAAATACAATGCAGGTGCAAGATATTCACTCATCCATCTTCCTAACCACTTAACGGAAACAGGGCGCAGTGAGCCTGGGGTCAGTCCCTGGACGTACAGAGCAGATGATGGGATGTCAGGAGATGTGTAAGATACAGTGTATTAAATGTGTCTGCAACCTTAAGAAGGAAAAAGAACAGCACCAGGGTTATTGGAGACTGACTGTAGTTTTTGTCAGAATGGCCAAGTAACACAGGATCTGTGTTCTGTATATGTACCCCCACACGCCGACCCCCGACGTACTGCTGTCCATCGTTATTATCAGCACCCCATGCCATTTTCAACCTCAGTGGTCTGCAGCCATTGAACCGAGAACCCCGACAGGCTGGAGAGGGGACGATGGGCCAGCACTTTGTCTTCCAGATGGTCGTTTTGTTTTTCTTTATCTTTTTTTTTCTTTTTTCTATCAACGAAGGGAGCTTGTAGTTCGATAAAGAGGCTAGCAGCGTGGGGGAGCAGATAGCATACAGGAAGCTCTGCTGAAGCTTATCTGGGATTCATCAGGCAGTGGTGGCGACCCGCTCCGGCCTTGTCCAGAGGGTCTCTCCAAAGCCCCAGGGTGTCTGCAGCAGCTCTGTTGGACATCAAAGTAAACTATGCAGCTTTTTAATGCTGCTTTTCTTTACTTTAAACGTGAGAGCTGCCGTGCATTCAAAAGCTGGAGCAGGGTATTGTTGAAGTTCGTGTGAATTTTTAGTTACTCCAAAACAATTAAATAGACTGGAGATATAAGTGTGGTAACTATTAGTGGATACAAGGAACGAGGCTAATGGCTGATACGGCCAATTATGACTTCTGTAGTGCATTTTAAGGGAATTAAAGGTGTTTCTTTGCTAGCTTACAGCAACATTAACAGCCATATGATGCCCTTTGCCTGCTGTGTCTGGAGTTCACCATGTTCTTCCCGTGTTCCCCCTGTAGTCTCCATGTGCTTTTTTTTCCTGCTGTCCAAAAACATGCTGTCTCCAAATTGTTCTTAGTGTGTGACTGTGTGTGAGTGCAGCATTTTAATGGGCTGGTATCCCATCAGAGGTGTGCTCTGCCTTATCCCTGGTGTCTCCTGATATAAGCGTCATTCTCACCATGACCCAGACCCGTATCACTAGTCGGAAGATGGATGGATGGATGGATGCATGCATGGGTAACGGAGCCGTTTAACCTTAATGTAAGAAGTGGGAGCCATTATCTTTTGTAGTGATACCTTTCAGTTAAATAGACACCACTGACCCACCTCATACGGAGAGGCATGGGTTGTTTTGAGGGTCTGTGTGACACCCCAGGGAAAGGCTTCTCGTTCAGGGCTCCAGGGGGATTCCCCACCCCGCCCCTTCCTGAATGATGGCGGCCTTCAATAATGCAGCTCGTTTCCACAAGATCATAAAATGTTCATCTAATTTTTATAAGGCCGTTAGCCGGCGTGACAGATCCTGGCGGGCGTGGAAGGAGTGGTGGTGGGGAGAGCAGAATGGGGAGGGGCTGACGGTGGCCCAGGCCTAGACGGCGACCCAGAAAGCTTAGCTGAAGGCCTTGGTGGGAGCATCTCATCTTGTCATAATTACGTCTGCGTTCAATTGTATGACTTCCTGCAGAACCACTGTCTCAGGGCAGTGCTGATTTAGAACATAGTGAGACAGTTACACTTATGAACATGTGTAGACACACCATCAAACACACATCAGTCAAAAGTCTGGACGTACCTACTGAAAGTCGTTTGTTTTTCAACAACATAACGACCCGAAGCACACCTGGTAGTAAGTACTGTATTATCTTGAGAACAAAGAAAGAGGTGGAGTGCTGCAACAGATGACCTGGTCCTCATTATCTCCCTACCTAAACCCCGCAGAGCTGGTTTGGGAAAAGTTGGATTGAAGAGTAAGTGCAAGGTAGACAGCTTGTGCCCAGACCATGTGGAAACACTTTCCGGACTGTTGGAGAAGCATTCCAGGTGACTACATCTGAAAGCTGGGTGAAAGACTGCCAAGTGTCTGCAAAACAAAGGGGGATTATTTAAAAGTCTAAAATTTAAGAAAATTTTGAGATGACATTTCTCTTGGTTATTGCAGTATTTGATTTGTATTACTTCATTGCCTTGAGGCCTTTTACTATAACATGAATAATATAGCTAAAATAGTTCAGACTTTTGACTGATACTGTATGTACACATCTGTCCATCTTCCAGCTGCTTATCCAGTGTAGGGTCACTCTGAGCATGTTAAGTTTTTCCCTTGTCTCCCAGATGTCTCTTTCAAAATGGAGGTTTTCTTGTCACATATATTTGCTCCAGTCTGGTCCCTGCCGTAACCCTGTTTCTTCTGTAAAGCACAGTATTTACTGTAAATAACTGTCTTTATTGCTGCTTGAGGCCCATATCGTGTGCTTCACCCATCCCGGCCCGAGACGCTATCTCACACGCATACATCCTTTCCCCTGTATCGTCTTACGTTCGTTCCCCCGCCCCTTCGACCGAGAGGACACTGGGGTGTTTGTGTCACATCACCTGGCCTTGTTTCATATGGGCCCTACCTGATGGGAAACGGGATCCTCGTACATGGCAGGCAAGGAGAGACAAGGCAAGGCAACGGTGTCTCCAGGCTCCCTGTCGTCTGGAAGCAAGCCACTGCTTTCTGAGCTTCAAGGGGACCGTAATCAGATCCCTCAAACAATGTGTCAAAGGCGTTGGTGGCTCTCTGTGCTTTTCTTGAGCTTTAAATGGATCAGGTGTTGTTGTTGATGTTGATGTTCTGTGAACATGGTTGGGTTGTGGGTAGCTTTTCTGTGCTGTCACAGGTGTTTCATTCTTTCATTAAAATTAAATAGTAAATTTCCAAAACTCAGTCCATTTTCTGTTGTTGTTGACATGAGCCAATGTCAGGCTTCCTCATTGTATGTTACAGTGTGCGTTCGAAATTGAATACTTGCTTGCTGGGTAGTAGGTGAGATACAGGTTGAGAGATGAGGAGTATGTCTGAATTCTCAATATGGATGAGACGGTAGGCCATTGGCACTCTGATTACATACTACATACTGCGAAAGACCGAAGTATGCAACTGATGGTCACTACACTACCCCACAAAGTCACTGGAGCTGCAACCAGAGATGAAGAATGATGCTTGCTCAGAAATTTTTGTCAGTATGGCAGAAGAAGTGCTGTCTCTCTACAAATTTAAGTAGAAAACAATATCCAGTTTCATAAGTTAATTCAAACGTATTTTTTCATTGATAGTATTTAACTTCCACAGGGGTCAGGCTAAATCTGGGTCAGGTAAAATGCAAGATAGCAATCACAGTGTGTCTGAGTCCATATGTACGCATGCATACATATATTACTTTAACAGTCTTCTAACAAAATTTAGTATTAAGTTTGCAAGTGTGATTTCACATGCTCAAACAGTATTGGGAATCAAAACAAAGTATAAAGTTATCCAATGGACAATTTTCATTAAATTTCCAAAGCCACAGAAAAGTACTTACTTAGAAACTTTCAATTTCATCATTCTTATGATGTACCTCAACTCCAGTCAGACACTACTTTGAGAAAAATGGGCAGGTAGCTATATGGTCAATGAGATTCTCTTTATTGTGTCTGTGTGTGTGTGTGTGTGTGTAGGTACAGCATTGGTCCTTCCCCTGAGGCCTGCTGGACCCCAGTAAACCTCCCACTTCATAGTTCGATTCGGCCGTCAGAGGCGTCGCTAAGGGTAGGAGGCCAGCCTCCACCTGTACCTGTCACTTGCACTGTAATGGACATCAACAGCACTTTGTTTGGAGGGTGGAGGTTTCAGAAGCAGCCTGTCTTCTAGAGGAGATGAGAGGTCCCTGGAGGGTACAGCAAAATGCATTAAACAAAGCTTCCACCCAGCCCCCCCCCCCCCAATTTACTTTGTGTTTTTTTTATGAGATGAAATGTAAGGGGATGAGTCATGGCAAACTGAATCGTCAGTTTTGGGCCGCCCCTGAAAAAACTCGGGTTTCAGAGCAAGGTAGTTGGGAAAGTTATGAGCTCAACCTTAACAGCAGTCATGAAATAAACACACTTTTGCTGAAGAAAGGCAACCGTGTCACAGCCTGGTTGTTTAGGTGTCACTCATGCCGAGAACAAGGTCACTCTTACGTCCCTCAAACGGATTCTCTGTGAATAATACTGGCTTGCTGATACTGTGTAGAAGACCAAGACATGTGCATGACAATTTCATAGCTTCCAGTTTATACACTGTTGATTCTGTTTTTTTGCGCATTTTTATTGACTAGTGTTTTGCACATATTCTTAATGTTACATGTTCTGTCCTGTCTTGTTTCGTGTGAACCGCTGGGGAAGTTGCTATCCCAATCTTGTTGTGCCGTCATGTATAAATACTAATGACAATAAAGAATATTCATATGTAGTGCTATGATTTAGTTTGAGCGCCTTTCTAAGCCGTTCCTCCTGGACCCCCGGTTAGTTTAAAAATTGCGCCCTTACTTTGCTCTTGAGATGTGGAACGATAAATATGAGGTTGTCGTCAGTTCTAAGGAACCACTCGCTATTTTGTTTGACTGGCTGTTTATTTACCTGGGGACCCCGGTGTATTGTGGACGGCAGGGCGGGCAGAGGCCATCAAGCTGTAATTTGATCAAAGTGCTTGGATGGTGGTTGCGGGGTTCACGTGAACAGAGGCGTCGGGTTACGAGCTTTAGCAGGAGCCCTGTGCCTCGGCTGCCCCATTCCGTCCTGGGAACAAGTGATCACTCCAGGCTGCTGGGAGGATGAGGGAGCTCGTGTGCCGACCATGTACCGTCTGCGTTTGGGAGAAGGTAGGAGCTGAGGGTGAGGGATGACCCTGCGCTGGGGCTCCCAGGTTTTAGTTATTGCTGTTTTTGTGAAAGCATCTCATTCTTCTACTGAAAGAAATGGCATTGGCTTGGCAGGGCGGCTCAGTCAGACAGCATCGTTGCCGAACACCTTTGGGGTTGCTGGTTTGAATTTGGGCCTAATTCAGTGTATGTTTGTCCCAGTCTTGGTGAGGTTTCCCCTGTGCACTCCGATGTCTGCATACTGTACAAATACATGCGTCCGAATGTATTCTGTCATGGATTATTGTCCCATGCAACTTGTAGTCTGCCTTTGGCCACTGGTTTCCTGTTATATGGTCTCTAATGGCAAAAATCCCACATAGATAGCTGGTTGCTGGGTTTAGAAATTTCTCTTCTGTCAAAGAATAAGGAAGGGTGTCAGGTTTTGGTTTCAGGTGTATGTGGGTGTCTGCCAAGTTCCGGCTGTTTAACAGATCAGTAGAACAGTAGATGGATTTGCAGACTAAGAATATTATAAGGGTTTGGAGGCTTTAGGAATTTTTGATACAGTATAGAGATAAAAAGAAAAAACCTTTCATGGTGAATCTTCACGTCTGGATTATTGCCTTTTTTCTGTCCATGTAGATGAGCGTGTCTGATGATGTAGTTGATGTGTGAACTCCTGTGATGAGCAATGCTGGAATAGTTGTGGGTGGCAGGTAGGGTAGTGATTACGGCAGGAAGAGCAGCGTTTCGGAGCAGGTGGGATTCAGCTGGCAGTGCAGTGTTTGAAAAGGGGAGGATATTACAGACAAAGCAGTGTGGCATTTGAACTTATTTGTGAGCTGAAGATTATAACTGTAGATTCTGGGAATGTGCTTGCTTGATGTGACCTTGAGCAATATGTTGTTGCTGGCATTGGATCGTTCTAACTCAACTCAACAAATGGGCTACGCTCAACCATCTCACAACCATCTCGTTTTTCAGATGCCTGCATCTTAATAATATTGTCACTTTTATTGTGTCATTTGAAAGTTCTAGGTTCCCTTTACAACATATAGAAAAAAAAACAGAATAGTGTTTCTTGTTTTAAGGGTTTTATTGAGCTTCAAATAAAACTCTTAAAATAAAAATAAAACCCTTATGTTTTTTTTTACTTCAAAATGGTTCAGTTCTGTTATGGTTGAGCATGGACGACACCAAATATTTGTTGATTTGAGCCAGAATGACCCTATTATTATTATAACGGATTTGTATTCCTTTGATTTTATCGGGTGAGAAAAGCCCTGCCGCACTGGGGTTAGGGTTAGGGTTAGGGTTAGGGTTGCAGTGTTGCATAATGCTGTAGCAGCATACATAAAACATTTCTGTGTCCAATAACATGTCGATTTGTCTGCTAGGCTGATCACTTAGAGTAAAATATCCAAGTTGGACAAACAAAAATAGGGGTGAAGCTGAAATGACTTCCCCATGGTTCTTCCCACCCTGCCAGCCCATAGCTCTCCTTAAGTGTCAGGTGGAGTTCAGCTTGGGACTGTAGAGAGGGAGCACAGAGCCCCAGGCTTCGCTCCATCTTCCTGTTCTTGTGATGACTCACCACCTTCTTCCTCCACTGTTGCGGAGACAGAGTGAGCGAACGAGCAAGAGAGAGATAACGGATGAGATCTGAATGGTAGCAAAGAAAGGCTGACAAGGAAATAGAGAAGAAGTGAGGGAAGTTAAGTGCTTGAAGTTCCTCTTCTGACAGGTTTTCTTCCCTAATGGAATGTGTGCTGAACCACCTCCTACCACATCTTTGTTTACAAGTCTGGAATTGCAGCTAATGTGCCGAAGACGTCTTCAAAACGAAAGTGACGGCCTACTTATCCTCAGACAGAATCCTCCGATATGCCCATGCACGTATGTCTTTTAAATTTTGCATGGCCATTGTAATTGGTTCTTTTGGGTTTTGCAGGTAGCGGTGGTGAGGTATTGTGGCAGTTTCTGATATTCTGAATGCAAACAGCCTGCTCAAGCACATTATTATGCAGCCCAGTCCTAATTTAACCATTTGGAATGAATAAGGAAGACAAGCTCACGTGGTGGTGTTTAGAGTAGAGTAGGTAGGTGCGCTTTGATGCACAGGCTTTCCCATGCTAAAGCCCTGGGGCCTCTTCTAAACTAGGCAGCTGCCTAGGGCCAGATAGGTACAAGGAGGCCCAGACATGGGGACCCCCCTCCGCCCCTAGGGTGGCAAATTTTTCCATGCCCCCCCCCACTGCCTATTGTCTTTGACAATCATTGAAGACAATAGTAGGGGGTCTGTGATGACTCAAATAGCCCAGAAGCTGCTGGCCATGTCAATGAGTGCCTGAGTATGGGCCATTTCAGATTCAGAATCAGGTTTGCTGGCCATGTATGCTCACACACAGAGGGAGTCTGACTCTGCCTTTCATTGGCTCTCAAGTGTACTTTGACTGCAGCTTCACATACATATAGTACATAAATTCTTCACCACATGATCACCAAGACCGTCAAGCTACATTTCAGCAGTTCTCCTTCAAGGCTTGTTGTTTAGTAATTATTTGAGCATAAACACGGGACTTCAAAGAATTATTGGCTAATAATAAATTTTGTGCACAAAATAATCAGCTTGCTACTAACGTTAGTGACGCTTTTAAATTTGTAGCCATATTTCCCAAAGTCACAAGTGATAGGCTGATTTTATACTGTTACATTTTACATAATTTGGACAGTGTGCAAATGATTATTAAAAAAACCAAAATATCAGTTGCTAGTCTCTTCAGTAGACTGAGCGCCGGTACTACCATTCACATAAACGTTACATTGTAACTAGGAGGGACAGAGGAGGATAGGGTGGTTCAATTAATGACTAAGTTGAGGCATGTATCAGTAGTAATATTTTTTAAGAAAAGCGGATAATTTATTAACATTATATTTTCAGCCGGCATGTGATGTGGGAGCGGTCCATTGTCACATCAACATCACACGTCCTGCTGTCTCGCACAAGCAGCTGAAACATCTGTCAGTATCGCAGTTGTCATTGACAGATTCACACGTACAAAAGATGCTTATGTTCTGTTTTCAGCACGAGCATCATTTATGTTGTGTTTGAGAGTGGCCATAGCAACTCAGCGGAATATAAATTACTCTTCACTGCGGAACATTTAAACCAGTGTTTCCCAATCTGGTCCGCATGGACCCACAGACAGTCCATGTTTTTGCTCAGCTCCTGGTCTACTGGGAGAGAGCAGAAACGTGGACTGTCTGGCAGGGAGCTGGGAGGGAGCAAAAACATGGACCATCTGCGGGTCCCCGAGAACCGGGTTGGGAAACACTGATTTAAACATTTGAACTGAGTTGCAGTGACATGCAAGTGCGGCCAACAACACGGACATTGTTTCGAGTTTTAAAATTTTGTTGCATTCCTTGCCTTGACATTGTACATACGAATAGTTAAATGCCTTTTCCATCCGCTTTCTGGATTGTGCACAAAAAGACCTAATAAAATGAAAAATAATATTAAAAATTGTTTTATTGTTATTTTTATTATTTTAAAGTTTAAAGCCAATATTATAAATATCTGTATTTACATGAGCCGGTATAAGGCAGACATGAGGAACACCCATAACAGGGTGTTGATAGTATGAAGAGCATGTGGCCTGTTAGCTGTTAGGAGTCTTCATTTAGTATTCAGAGGGGAGAAACCTGACCTAAGTCTATTGGTGCTAGTGGCCGTCAGGCTGAGCTAGAGTTTCCCTGACCGCAGCAGAGAGAAAATGTCTGAAAATGTACAATAAATCTCAAAATAACGTTAATGCTTTGCTAACCCTACAGTTAAAAACTGTGAGAGTGTGAATGAGAGACTTTTGAAAGACACATTTATAAAAAATGCATGATAAACAGCTTTACTAGTCAGCAAAGGGTA